CCCCCCCCTTAAATGACCTAATAGTGTTGATAGGGGCGTTAAACTCATACCATTTCACCTTTTTTTTTGTTGCGAAATTCAAAAACACAAATTTGTACATTTCATGGCAGGCCTATGCGTGTACTCATGCCTGCCTTATAAAATGTCAGATAAAGTAAACAGAATTGAAAACTCTGTTTGAATTCATGAAGTTATGCTTCTTTTTTAAGGTGCTCCAAAAGCGCATTTCAGACGAAGAATAACCAGAATGCGCGAGGTCAAAGAGTTAAAGGTCATCGGTAGTTCATGATGACAAAAATTTTGTCATTAGTATTAGCACATCGTAAGAGTTCTTGGCTTTTTGTATCTTCCTACTTTTCGTTTTATACAACTATATTATCATACTTGATAATATGGGTGGAATTAAGGCTTTTGCGTTCTCAGGTAGGATTGCAAATCAAAATTCAACTCAATGCTCTTCCTTACTTTGCTATTTTAATTTATTAAATTTTTATTTAGCAAATCAAACATAACAACAGCATACTATTTAAATAGATTTTAAAAAAGAATGAATATATGGCATAAGAAGCACGATTTTATTATCGTCCACTTCTTTAGTGCAAACCAGCCCAGGCCAATACTCTACTAGACTACAAGTACCCTGACATCGACTGAGAATGCCACCCCCTCAACCCCTCACTGTGCTCGCGTGTGTAACGATCCTCACTTCCTGCGTGACAGCGTCACAGTTTAACAACCTCTCGGCTTCCCGGCGGGCTGAGTCTCAACTGTACAGTGACCTGTACTCCAGCGACGTGTTGGCGCGGAGACTGAGTCCACACTCTGATGACCAAGTGGTCAACATCACAATTTTCGCCTTCAGAGTTATTGAGGTTGTACACGACGTCTTCTATTTCGTTTTGCTTTGCTAGCAGTTTGCCTTTAACGCAAACAAACCACACAAAAAAAAGAAAAATAAAAGAAAAACATGCCCACATATAATTTGATTTTTTATTTTTTCAAAGATTGTAGTAAACTGCATGGATGATTGTCCATTTAAAGAAAAGTTCACCGTTACGACAACAGACATTTATCAGAGGCTAACAGACAGGCAGAAACAAAAGATATATCGTGAAAAATTAAGACCTTGTGGTCGCCATAAAACTTAATGAAGAAGGAGACGTGTTTTTAGTAAATGTTTGATGCCGAAATTTACCATAAGCTTGTTCACTTTCCAAAATACTTTATCTTGTACGTTTTGGCAAATCAATAAGACACAAAAATAAATATTGCGAAACAAAAGTCTTTTAGCTATCTCTGTTTCATTAGAAGTGGCATAAACATTCCAAGTCTGTTTTAAGAAAGGTCGGACGGTCTCCAGTCTCTGATAGTAAGACACGAGACCCCCAAGCTACTAATTAAACAATGACTATGCGTTTTAATGTCCTCTGGGTTTGTTTTTTTTATTCACGACACATCTGCTGTGTCGGTTTTTAATGTAGATGTTTTTACGCCCCCAACGACACAACCAGGATTATTTAGGAGGCGGGCTTCCGACCCTGCCTGTCATTGCCAACCCGGGCTAAGAGGGATACCAAATCCCAGGAAAGAGACTGGGGTTACTAAATAAAAAATATTTCTTACCACTCGGGAACGTATGAGAACACCTGTATAAAAAAAGAAATTCCACAAACAAACAAAGTGTAAGAATATGCCGTTGGACGGATCAAACTGAGGTCTCCCGATAGTCAACATCGCACGCTACCAGCTGCACTACAAGAACCCCCCCCCCCCCCCAACACCCCCCGCCCCTCCAACCTTCCACTATTGTTGCTCATAGGTACTGGCCATTCTAAAAGCTGTTGTAATCAACAGAAGATAATAAGATGAGTTTTCATCCCGAGTTGGTACACGTAACGTTGCCAGAAAGCTTATTAAATTATCTCAAACTATCTCTTTCTCAATTCTGTGTTTTTCTGCTCCAACCAGGTTTTAGATCTAAATGAAGCAGAGCAGTCTCTGATGACCAATAGCTTCGTGTCGTTCCATTGGACAGACCCCGCCCTGGTCTGGGATCCAGATGACTACCAAGGTATCAATCATGTTCACATCCCGTCAGATAAGGTAAGATATTTCATGACTACCTCTCAGATTTACAATGAAACGTTCTGTGGCGTACAAAATCTGTGATAAATAAAATCAGAGTCCGATTTTTAATCTAATTTTACTTGCGATGTTATTGAACTTAAACAGCTCACACATTTTCCATGTGTGGTTGGCGGGTGCTCTGGTGTGGTTTGCTCCTTCTTTCCTATAAAAAAATGTATCGTCTCTATCTCCTCTCCTTCTTTTTGTGTTTGTTACTCTCTTGTAACACCTCTAATCTTCAGCCCTTATATGACATTATTGTGTTGCAAGTGCCGTAAACTCTTACTAAAACTAAACACATTTTCCTCTCTTTATTCTGATATACATGCTTGCATTTTCTCATCCTCCTCCAGCTCCCCCCCCCCCCCCAATCTCCCTCTGTCTGTCTGTCTGTCTGTCTGTCTGTCTGTCTGTCTGTCTGTCTGTCTGTCTGTCTGTCTGTCTGTCTGTCTGTCTGTCTGTCTCCTCTCTCTCTCTCTCTCTCTCTCTCTCTTTCTCTGCTACAATTCTAGAGGGCTGTTTGGTCCGCTGTTAATGGACGTGTCTTCGATGGGCTTTTCGTTTTATGAACACGTTCATGCAAGTGCGAATGAAAATGATAATGTGTCTTTTTGTAGCTAAAAACCAATTCAAATGTTTAAAGCATTTTGAAAAGCTAATTTCTAATTCTTGGGGTTAATATCACAGCGTTTGTATTGCTTTTGGAATGAAGAATGCACGCACCTGCATGCTTTTTGAGTTATGATAAAAATTCTAGGTAAACGTAAATTTCAAAGCCCATTCTCATGAAAATAAGCTAAAAGTCGCCCTTTAAGCATGACTCACGGTAACCCAGATGTAGGTCAACTGAGATTGTAGACCCAGGGTGTGCACAGTAGTTCAAGTAAACTCAAAATAGAGCACGCAAGTTTACTTTTACTAATACTGTTGTTGTTAATATTATACTGATTCTTTTATGTCCACAAAGACACTAGCATAGATGCATCCGCTATATCTACGCTTAAAAGCTGTTTTGACATTTTGCTTTACTCAGTAAGGATAAGAGGTTGGCGAGACGGGACTCCAAAGCACACTGTCATGAAGTACAATCCTTATGACCACATGAGAATGCATGTTTGCATGGTCAGTGCCTCCTCTAGTCCGTTCTCTTTTCTTCTGTCTTCTTCTGTTTGGTCCAAACGTGGTCGACATTTGTGGCCACCGTTTTTGTTTATTGGGATGATATCGATTTCTTTTCCCTTAAGTGAGTGAGGTCCTCATTCCCAGATTTGGCATCCTACTTTCCTGATCGTCAATGCGGCGGACAAGGACTACCGACTTCTCGGGATGCCAACAGCTTTGGAGCTCCGCCACACAGGAGAAGTCTTTTTTAGGCTGGGGCTTACCACCAAAACTACCTGTGACTTAGACATGAGCTCATACCCTTTCGATACACAGTCCTGCCGCATTGGTATAATGCCGTATTACAACAATCCATTTATCTACGTGAATGACGTCAAACAGATGCATGATGTAAAAATCGTCAACCCTGTCCATTTCAGAGGCGAATGGACACTGGATTTAGACAAGTCCAAAACTGAACTTTCGCATTTTGAAAATCATCATGAAAGGGTGGTGATTGCTACAATTCATATTAAACGATGTCGTCTCTATTACTTATTAGTTTTGATAGCTCCGCTTGTGGTGACGTCATCCATGACGTCCCTTGTGTTCTGGATTCCTCCAAGCTATGGAGAGAAGATGTCGTTTCAGGTGTCCGTCTTTCTGGCCAACGCCGTCTTCCTGAACTTGGTGGCGCAGACCTTGCCTCGCAGCATGACGGAGATCCCGAAGCTGATGCTCTTCATTCTCTTTGTTACCCTTGCGTGTTTCGTAACTATGCTGGCCAGCCTCTTCGTCATTCGGAGGTGAGTTATATCTTTCTTATTATGTCACAGATCTGTAACCCAGAATTCACTACAGAAAGTTTCGTCGAATCCCAGTCTGACAAAGTGTGATACATTTAAGAGGGGTCAGTTCGTCTTTTATAAAGTGGCAAAAGTTACCACTGTGGCGTAGCTTAGATGAAATCCTGCCAAATCAAATGTATTTGATCTTTTATGTCATGGTCGAGTATATCTGGTGAAAATCGTAGCGAAAAGCCAATCGGATATCGCTATATTACCTAACACATAGCAGCCCCTGCTATGTGTTAGGTAATATAGCGATGTGCGATTTTTTTGTTCTTGGCAGGTTATGCATTGAGGCTCTTATGGATCTTGCGGGTCAAATTTGATGAAAAAAGCAGAGCGCCAAAAGTCATTGCCCTGCACGACCTAATCCAATACGATCTTGCAGATCTATGGGCGTCTCTTCAGGCCTTCCCTATCGTTTATTCGATTCGGGCAAAATATACTTTGCCTACATTTGCTCCGTTTACTTTCCTCAAAAAGTAGTACATGTATTTGGCAAACAGTAGTAAAATCTGTAGGTGAAGCCGTTTGAAAGTTAATGGGTTGCCGTATTTCCCTCGTGGAACTAAAAGCCAGCTTTGGGACGAACAGACAGACAAAGGGAGCTGTTATAGGGACTTTGAATTTTTAGTAAGAGATAATACATTAAGCGATAACTTTGCATTTACGATATTTGACAATGTTGTTGACAGACTTTGCAGGAGAGAGAAGGTCAAACTGCACTAACAAATTTGTATGTATTTGATAGTTTCAGATGCAAAGATGGAAAAGAGAATAAGAAACAGCATAAATTATAAAAAAGCACTAACCTTTTTATGGTGAATTGTGATGTTAATGTGTCAGAATTTTACTTATTTGAGATTTGATTTTGAAGATAGATCTCAATCCCAAACTTCAAATGTATAGAGTTGTGTTGTATGCTTCAGGTACAAGGAAGAGCAAGAAATACTTCAGAAGGAGGCTCGGAAACGAGCGGAAAAGCAACTGAAGCAGGAAATGACGAAAACCGTGGCTGATCAAACCACACCCCGTGATCCTGATCTACCCCCCGACATAGAAGACGAGAAGAACACCCGTATAACCGACGTCCGGTCAAATAACACCACTGTGGCAGCTCTACACATACTACGTCACCGTTTCCTGCGGATAAAGTCGAAAGTCAAGGCGGTGCGAGATCGTGCTTCGCGCATCAAGCTCCCCAGACGACGGTTTTGTATCTCCTCCTCCACCTGGGATATCATATTTTTCTGCGTGTTCCACATGACTAGCATACCCTGCTATTACTTTCTCTTGTACAAAACTGATACATCGGTCAAACTGAAGGCTCGTTTGGACTTTTAGCTTTGAAAACCGTTGGTCGAAGGATAAGCCGCATGGCTGGACTGAGCTTGCTTTTGTTTCTATTTGTTTCACGGTGTCTCAGCTTTACTCTTAGCCTGCTAAATAGAATCTTTCTTACGTCTCTGGCTACTAAAGTTTAAGTGTGTTGTTCGTCTTTGGTTTTTCTGTACAGTAAAAAGTTTTTTTTAAAAAATACTTAAATTGTTTTGGGGAAAGGGGGGGGGGGGGGGGGTGTCAGTGATAAAATTTATTTCATTGAAGATTATGTTGATTCTAATGAGTATTTAGAACCGTGAAGAAAATGGAGTGGAACAAGCGACATCAGTAGAAAGGGATATTTCCAAAGAATGTGTCAGGCTATTTTATCAAGTGGAATGTGTAGATAAAAACATTGCAAAGTTCAGAGTTTGACTGAAGGAGAGAGCGAGAGAGAGAAAGAAAGAAAGAGAGAGAGAGAGAGAGAGAGAGAGAGAGAGAGAGAAAGAGAGAGAAAGACAGACACACAGACAGACAGATAGACAGACAGACAGACAGACAGAGGCAGAGAGAGAGCGAGAGGAGAAGAGGAAGAGGGGGAGCGAGAGAGAGAGAGAGAGAGAGAGAGAGAGAGAGAGAGAGAGAGAGAGAGAGAGAGAGAAAGACAGAGAGAGAGAGGGAAAGAGAGAGAGAAAGAAAGAGAGAAAGACAGACAGACAGAGAGAGAGAGAGAGAGAGAGAGAGAGAGAGAGAGAGAGAGAGAGAGAGAGAGAGAGAGAGAGAGAGAGAAAGAGAGAGAGAAAGAGAGACGGGCGAGGGGGTGGGGGATGGGAATCCTGAAGAACAAAAGAGACTAAACAGAAACAATAAAATGTGTATTAATGTGAGATCTAAAATCTTCCTTGACTTTTGGGAATATATAGTTCAACAATTTAAGTTTTATTCGTGTGTTATATTGTATTATTTAGTTGTTCAAACAATGGTATCGTGTTTGCTGCTTTTCAAATGTTAGTCTTTTTGCGTCCCCATCGACACAATTTAGATCATTTACAAGGCTAGCCTCTGACCCTGCCTGTCAGGGCCGGCCCAGACTGAGATGCGCGCTCGCACGTGTGTGTGTGTGTGTGTGTGTGTGTGTGTGTGTGTGTGTGTGTGTGTGTGTGTGTGTGTGTGTGTATGTGTGTGTGTGTTTGTATGTATACATATATATATATATATATATATATATATATATATATATATATATATATATACATGTATATATATATATATATATTTATACATATGTGTGTGTGTGAGTGTGTGTGTGTGTGTGTGTGTGTGTGTGTGTGTGTGTGTGTGTGTGTGTGTGTGTGTGTGTGTATGTATGTGTGTGTGTGTAAAAGATAAGATAAGATAAGATAGTACTTTATTATCCCAGAATGAACTTTTTCTTGGCTGTACAGGACAGTAAACACACACGCAGGTAAACATAAAAGATTTTTAATTATATATATTACTGTCATTAAAATTCAATATGAAAGGAGAGGTAAAGCTGACAAAATGTACATTTACATCAAATGCATCATTCAACCACATGCAGGAATTTAAATACTAGACCTTTGGAGATATATACAGATACATACTCTAAGAGCAACACACATCTATGCTCATTCTTACAAAAGCCTTATGCTAGATTGTAAAAAACTTCTTTTATATCTTTCTTTCTTTGTTCTTGGAAGGACATATCTGCCGCTGCGTTATCTTACAATTTGTGTGGAAAAGGGGTGTGATGGGTCGTTTATAATATTTTTTTATCTTTTTTTTATACATGTGGTGTTATACATTTCACCCATTCTATTAAAATCATATCCAGAGATCTTGCTGGCTTTCTTAATGGTTCTGTCAAATTTTTCTTTATCTTTCACCTTACAATTCCCACCCCAGCAGCAAATACAAAATAATAGCACACTTTCAATCATAGAATGGTAAAAAAGGGACATAATCTTATTGTCAACACAGAAACTTCTTAATTTCCTTAAAAGAAACATTCTTTGATTTACTTTTTTATGCACAAGAGCAGAGTGGGGATGCCAGTCAAGTTTGTTGTCGATTGTTACACCAAGATACTTGTAAGAGCTTACCACCTCTACCTCTTCATCTTTAATAAATAGTGGTTGCAATAGGTCTTTTTTTACTCTAAAGTCTATTATTAATTCCTTTGTCTTTTTTACATTTAGTAAAAGGAAGTGGTTATCACACCAATTTGTAAATAGATTCACAGCGTCCCTGTATTCATCCTCATGTGTTGTTATAAGGCCTTGTAGAGTGGAATCATCCGCAAATTGTATTAGCTTGATGGGTTTTTAAAAAATCAAAAGTACAGTCGTTGGTGTAGAGCGTAAACAAGACAGGGGAGATTACACAGCCTTGGGGCGCACCGGTGTTCGTGAATATTAGGTCGGATTTTACACCATTTAATTTTACATATTGAGGTCGATTGGTTAAGAACTCAAGAATCCAAGCTATAATGTTCTTGTTTATGTTCATGTTAATTAATTTTGAAAAAGAAAGACAGAATGGGATAGAAAAATAGAGTAAGAGAATAGAAGGAAGTTGAGGGGAGGAGATGGTGGGGGAAACAGAGAGAGAATCACTGTAAGTCTACAACAATTCAGAAACAATATACAGACTTGAACATAAGTTAAGGACCACTCGCAAACACTCTGAGTGGTCTTCTTGGGTCGACCTGCACGTGGACGTTCTTGTACTGATCCAGTGGCTTGATGGTGCTGCCTCAAGCGGACAATGACAGAGTGTGAGACTGCAAGCCTTATGGCAACTTCTTGGGCTCCATCTCCATCCTGCACCCATACCATAGCCCTGGCACGATTAAAGTCTCTCAGCTTTCCTCTTGGTGGTACGTTGATGTGATACTGGATTTTGCGCAAAAATCGGCTTATATTGCGACCAAAGTGAGCACAGTTCGAGACCATACGTCCGTTTATGACTGCACCAGAAATTTTAACTGAGGAATGTCCGTGGTGTCGTACACAAGTCGATAAAAAACAGCAAATTTGGCTAAAATTCCCCCGAGAATTTCCGAGCTGCACGTGGTGGTTTCGGTCCTTTAGGAGGCTTTGCAATAAGCGATGGTAACTCATTAACACTTTCAGAGCAAAAATTTTGAAACATTCCTTGATCTCATTTTTTTTTCGGATTAAAAAAAAATCAGGAATGTCTGTCAAGGTGGTCTTTAACTTTTGTTGAAGTCTGTATCTATGGAAAAGGCAGGAGGGTTATTTATTGAGTTTAAGTTTGCAGTGAACCATAAAGAAAACGGCATCGATCGTTTCCAAGTAGAGCAAGTAAGGACATTAATAACATTGAAAAAGGAGATGGAGTCCACAACATGATAAGGCTCACCTACAACCTACCAGTAAAGTAAGCTAGCACCATAGATTTGTAGATATCTTCATATTGTCACGCTCATAAGATAATTGCGTAAGTCCTTTTTGGCCAGTTTGGAGGGTTTTTTTGGTTCTGAAATGAAGAGCAGAGCCTGCTTGGTGATAATATAGCTCACTTGGACAAAAGAATAAACCAAATATAGAATCAGTTGAGTGTACCTAAATTCAAGCGTTTCACGAAGTCAGTTGTTCGAAATAAACAGCCTTTTCTCTCTTTTTTTTTTCAAAATGGCTTTAAAATGACTTTATCTTAGGAGCGAGACCATAATAATATCCAAGACTGTGCACTCTGACACAATTCCGGAACAACATGGAGGGCACATTTGGAATCAAATGAAGGATAGGGAGGAAAAAGTTTCACGCCCACCCGACTGTAATAGCGACATTGATGTTTTGCCTTTTATTTTTATGCGCATGGTGCGCACCAGCGTTTGATTTTAAGTTTTAGAAAGAGTTTTACGGCACTTGCAACACAATAAGGTCATATAAGTGCCGAAGAATAGAGGTGTTACAAGAGTAACAAACACTGAAAAAGAAGGAGGAGAGATAAGGACGATATATGTGAGGCAGCGTGGTCGAATCAGGCTCTCGTCAAAATAATGAAATCGAAGAAAACAGCAGTTTTCTCCCTGCCAAGCCATTTTTATCCAATTTTTGCTTTTTGGATCAACACCTTTTATGTCCTTTTACAAACATATTCCTTTGAGGATTTCACCGAAAACGTTGATTAAAGGCACAAAAATATAAATTTACAGTTTCCATGGACTCTCCAGCTTTGGAATTTACCAAACTCTGGCGCCCATTTTC